TTAAATGTCTCACAGAATGAAATATTTAGTTATTTCCAAAGCAATGCCAGAAGCTCCTAATTGCTTCAGATTGCTTAAAAACTGAAAAGAGGCACATATGGTACATATTTAGCAGTTAAAGACTAAAAAAGATATTTAAATCATGATTAATGCATAATAAAAATGCAATGTAAAACTTCTGAAAGCACTTAAGTTTCCTATGGTAACAGTCAGTGAGTAGAAACATACCATAAGATAACCAAACTTAATTTATACCGACAAGAGACAATTATTCTCAAGTTAGTTTTAAAAAAATGTATTACAAAATATGACTACACTGATTGAAATTTAGTTAAAAGAGTGAAAACGAAAACAAGACAGTATGTAGGGTAATGTAAACTAGAACAGAACCTTCAAAAATAATATGACAAAAAGGTGAAGCTGCTCCCAGTGAAACTATTCTTGTCATGGTACAAACGACTTTCAAAAACATATGGTAAAATTAATTTGGAATGCCATTAAAACACTATCTAAAATTTTTATAGGAGAATAAAACAACTATGTAACCAAGTGATGGCACAATTTCAAAACAAAGTTTCCAAGTTGAAGCTTGTGATATAATTAATAACAGAATAAGATTCTGAGAGCATGCACATCTAATAAAATCAGAACTTACAAAATATAAGCATTAGCTTAGCTAAGGGTATCACATAAGGGAAGCTCTCCCTCAATTGGTCTTCTCTCATTTCTTATAATTTATTTTCTTCTTCCAGTGTGTGACTTTCTTTACGACAACATGTAGCACAGTTGACATCATTGTCATCATCAGAGGCATCACTGTCATTTGCATCAGTATCTCTTTCATCGCCAGCATTTCCAATACGAATTTCTCCACATTCTGACTCTCTCTCATCCTCAAAATCATCATTTAAATAATCCTCCTCATCAGTGAGGAGACCAGCACAACTAAAATTGCCCTCCAGAGAATTTCCATCTAAGAGGTGTTGGGCAAGAGAATCATTTTCTTTGTGGTTCATTGATACAGTCATTGACGAGGCTGACCTCTCTAAAGATGAAGATGAAGATGAACGAACAAGAGATATTGATGAGCTGGATTTTGTGTGAACTTCTGAGGGGTCAGAGCAATTATTTTCTGTTGTCTGAAGGACTGAGAAAATAGGGGAAGCTGAGGTTTTAGGCTTAAGGGGAGTTGAAGATGTTGGTGCCTCATTGAGATCATCATTAAGGAGTTGGTGTTTCTTCAACTCAACAAAACCTGAAAACGAAAATTTTTCATAATGTTTCATATGCTTAAAACCTATTAAAGGCAAATGAATTATACTAATCAATATTTACATATTGGAATGTTCAAAAACTTCACTTACCAGAAGAACAAGGAGGAAATGACTGTCCGGCAGTTTCATCCACAGGTGTAAGGCTGGTCAATGAATTAGATGTTGCTAAATCTGTACGATCATCGTCATCATCTCCACATCCAGAATGTGCAGGTGGCATAAGATAGTCTCGTGACCTCGAAATAGGTCGACTTTGTTGATAATCAGCATAAAAGGTAGGTGGATCGTACTCATGTGGCACTACAAAATAAATAAATCTGTGAGAATTGTTCTCATTTTTGTGTTAAAAATCAAGGTAAATGAGACTTACTGCAATTAACCACTTCTTGAAAATGATACTGGTTAGGATCAACAAGTTGATTAATCCAAGGGTGAGCACACAACTGATTCATATTCAAACGCATTGATGGATCTCTCTCCAACATAGCATGCAAAAGACCAAGCAGCTGTGGACTAGCAGTGCCAGGTGGTCGTAGTTCAGCTTTAAGAGTTTCCTCCACGTCAAAGAAAGGATTCTCTCCAAAGGTCAGAACATAAAGTGTAACACCTAGTGACCATACTTCTAGTTCTGGTCCTTCATACCTTTACAAAAACAAGAAAAGTGTACAAAGCAAATTACATTATTACAATTAATGTTCAGAGTTCCGCAGAAAGCCTCAAAGAAAAGTTAAAATCTTACTTGTTTCCTGCTAAGACTTCAGGACTACAATACTCTACTGTTCCATAAAATGTTGAGAAAAGTCTGTCCGCACTCATAAAAGTTGCAGAACCAAAATCAATGAGTTTTGCATGGAACTTTTGATCTATGATGACATTTTCATCCTTAATATCTCGATGTAATATTTTCAGTGAGTGCAGGTACTGAACAGCAGCCACAATCTGTTAAAAGAAATAGTTTTAGATTAAAACAAGTGAAGTATGACTTATGTTTCAAAACAGGGTTTATTTTAATAAGAGTTGATACTGACTTGACGGAAGATGAAACTAATCAAAGGTTCATCCAGCTTGGGCCTTCTATCAACAAATTCAAATAGATCCATTCCAGCACCATGTTTTTCCATAACCATTTGATAAAAGGTTTCATTTTCAAAAACATCTAGTACTCTCACCTGCAAACAATGTTAAACAAGTTCAAGAGGTGCAAAGGTAAAGTGAGGCATAACGAATAATGCGAGCCAAGATACATACAATATTTGGATGTTTGATAGTGGTCAGTAGACTGACTTCAAGTGGTACTCTCTTGCCAAGTATTGGATCTTCCACCCATGACTGTTCATGTACCTTCTTCTTGTGGATGAATTTTGTGATCACCTGTAAATCGGCGTGGTTAGTGTGCTTTCGAAGGAAGAAGTGAAGAAAAAGGCTTTGATGGAATGCAACACAAACCAGAATATTATCTTCATTTCGATATGCCATTTTAACAAATCCATAGGCTCCCTTTCCAATTTGCTGCAATGTAGAGTACCGTTCACCATATTCTCCCATTAAAAGTTCATCCTCACACTGAGTCATAATTGATAAAGAGCTTGGACGGCTTGCACTATGAGCTCTAGCTTGAATTTCCTACGAACAAAAAAGAAAAGTGTTTTTTTTCCCCCACTTTTCTATGCCTGGTACAAACATTTTCAGAGATATGGCATTCGGGAAACAACCTGTCCAAGAGATGGCTCAATTGCACTGCTCTCCAAGCTCGAAGTAAATGTTAAATTTCCATACACAGGATCTTCTTCTTCACAGTCACGAGAAATCCAAACACAATATAGTTGGCGGCCACATCTTAGTTGCACCAGCCTCACTTGGTAAACAATTTCTAAAACACACACAATTAATCTTTAAAAAAATTGTTCCTAATCATAGAACTGAATGTAATGCATGGTATAGAAAAAAAGGCTGAAGTCTTAAGCAGTATGATTTTTCTTTACCAATATTAGAGCCATCCCTGTGCTTTCCAAATCCTATGAAATGACCTTCAGGAAAGCTTCCTTGAGTATCAGGCAGTGTTACTGGAGATGGTGCTGGTGGTTTCACATGGCTAACGCTTGAAGCACTTAGTGTGTTATCATCCATTTCATGGGAGTATCTGCTTGGATGACTGGTACAGGTGCACATGCTAGAAGATGTGACTCCAACACATGAGCTGAGTTCAACACTAACAGTGGGGCTGTGACTGTTTTTAGAGTGCTGAAAAAAAATAAAATTAGGATGATTGAAGAACAACATATGAGCCAAAAAATTACTGGACAGAGCGCTCACAAGTTTCAGAAGTTTGTTATTCTTATTTTTGTTTCCATTCAGTGTATCGTCTTCACTTTGACTAAACTCCTCGCAGGTGGTGTTATCAGCTGTTACTAGAGGGTCTGATCCTTCATCGGGAGGACTGTTTTCTTTCTGACCGTTTGATAAAGTATCAGACGCACAAGAAAACATTTTGTAGTTCTTTGCAGAGGAGATATCATTTTGCAGTGTGAGACCAGCACTGCAAACAGACAAAAGGCAATGTAGATCGAGACAAATTTTAAATACCAGCAGCCAGATAGATATAATAGACCTAGTGATATTTATTTACCCAAATGTAGGAACTCTTACCTTGTTGTTTCATCATCACGAAGAGTTATTTTATTTGTCAAGTCACTCAGTTGAGAGACAGACTCAATGAGCCTTCGGCAGTCAGTGTGATTTGAATTATCAAGGGATAATATATTTGTAGAATGACTCTCGGTATCCATTCGGTTTGTTGATTGACTGTCAGTATCATTGTTTGACCTGGGTATTATATTTGGATATCAGATTTTTTTTAACTTAAAAATACTCAGTTGCAGATAAAATAGAGGCAAGTATTTTGAAATTTGAAGGAATTGGAACTACTTTACCGCCAAGCTTGAGGTGTAGTTGAATCAGTGTTCAGAGCATTCTCTGCTAATTCCTCTCCAAGTTGAAAGGGAGGAAGAACAGAATCGTCTCCATTGCACACAGGATCGTGAGTAAAATTAGGTATGACAGTAGTTATATGCTAGAACAGAAAGATTATGTATGTAAGAACTGAAGATGAGGGACAACAGATCAGTTATACTGAAGTGGTAGTTTTCTCTAATTACTTTGCCAGATAATTGAGCTTGAGTGAAGCCAAACATGATGTGAGTAAAATGATGGTTGCATTGCTCAACATTTCCATCAGGTGTCAAAACAAGTAAGCCACTCATGTTTGAGAAGACCCACAGAATAATAGAATAAGTTACTGCAGCTACAGAGGAGTCTCCACTGCCTTCATCAAGTTCTTCACTTAGACGAAGACATAGTGGGAAAGATGTGCCATACTTGGTGCGGCCCGTAGCTTTTTGCTTCCGCACTTCCTGAAAATAAGATCGAAGATGAATAAAGGAATAATTGTAAAACAATAAAATATAGAGCTGTTGTAATTGATATCCACATCACAGAATAGCTTACAAGGCATTACCTTGGGCAAGCAGTCAGGATGTGTGGGCATGAGAAAAGCAGGGATCAAGAGTTTTATGTCCTCTCCCTCAACTTCTTCAATTGTGTACTGGAAGAGTTGTGTGGCGTCTTGGTCCATCCACAAAATACGTCCAAAGGAATCAACTTCCAGCTAAAAACAGAAGAAGTATGAGAGAGATAAATTTAGATCTTCATCTGTCTATATTAGTTATTATCTAGAAAACATAGATTCTCACTTTTGCAACGCGGCGTTCCACTGGCTCTGCAACAGCAAGACATCTGTCATCCATTTGGAGTCGTCGAAGCCACAATGAAACAGGAATAATGCCACCATCTTTGCTAACCATTTCAACCTGAAGTTGAATAAAAATTGGCATTATGAGCAAGAATGAGCAATCTAGTGAATTGATTCGGCTAGAAATAGGACCAACACTGAGACTTACAACTTTTCCACTAACACCAAGAGTTGTACCATGAGTGGTATCTAAATGTTCCTCAGAGAGAGCATAAGGAGTGTGAGCATGTTGCCTGTTAAGTAACTGTACCAAAGTAAGACCACAGAGCTCGTCTGGAGAGAAGCCCAACAAACGGCATGCCATTTGGTTTACAACAAGAATCTAAAAACAAGGATGAAGGGTTGTTAAATTGATGTCACAGAAAAGAGAACACACATAAATAAAATACTACTACCTTCATGGTTTTAAAATCAAATGTAAAGACAGCTTTGTTGGGATTTAGCATCACAGTTTTATGAAAGGCTGGAGGTTGTGAGTTACTGACTGATGCACAAAGTGTGGCACTGGCTGTTGACGCTTCGCTTGGAAGTAAATGATCAACAGTTCCACTAAGAGCATCAGGCAGGGGTTTCATTGAAGAAAATGAACAGCGCCGCCGTCCTGCCGAAAACCGGCAGGAGTTGAGAGAGTCACCTAGACATTGTTAGTCATACATTAGTTTTTTGTGCGGCAATTTTACTTAGCAACTTCTGGGAAGCATTGTTATGAGTGCATCAATCTGATACACAAAGGATTATAAACCTGTTTACCTCTTATTTTTTCCATTGTCATACAAGGGGAAATGAAACCAAGGAAGTCTTCACGGTGATGGGGTTTCATCAATGGGAAGCTCTGATTGTGTTCGAATGATAAGTCTCTGCATTTTGAAATTCCAGAAATCTCAGCTTTTCTCAGGTTTCTTCTTCTGCAAAAAAGTAGAAATCACAAGAGAAATCCATTACATAATCAATCCGAAGCAAATACAAATCAAAGTAGACACCAATAACTTACCTTGCAGGACTCCTAGCAGGACTACTGACAGGAGACCAGCTGTCATCATTCACCAGCTGACGCCGCACAGAGCTCTTGATAGGAGATATCTATAAATTAAGGAAACTTAAATCCAACTATACAGTTCAGCAAAATACAAAATGTTTTTTTTTTGTTTGTTTGTTTCCATCTCGAAAAGCAGAATTTATGAGCAATTAAGCTTAGCACTGCATGGTACAGAAAAACTAATTTAATACAAGAATACTTACGCCATTGATGAGATTTAAAGCAGCCGTCCGTTGGTTGAATCGTGAATCCGAGAGCACAGCTCTGTAAATGCACAACGCAGAGGAATAAAGAGCAAGAAATGATTTTCCATAACAAGTCAAGTTTGCAGAATTCACAGGTTAAGACAAATACGCTACATTAAAATAACAACGCTTCTAGTAACTCAAACAAGAAGGTTTAAGAGAAAGCAAAGAGAGACACAACCGCAGAAAAGTAATTACATAAGGAAACATCATTGGCTACAACATGTTATGGACTAAGTACCCAAAGTGGTTTCACGTTACAAACAGCAAACCTGAGACCCCTTGTCACAATGACATCTAGAGAAAATAATAAATTGCACGCATATCTAACCATGAGAACTAAAAGGCCCGTTTGAAACTCGTGTTTCCAGAGCAGAAAATAAAGACACTACGCATGATGAAGGTTAGGGAGAGAATTTAAGCCAAAATAATCAATACTGGCTGCTGGACTGGGAGGGGGCTGGATGAGAGCCCCCTACAATGCACCTGTTGAGTGACGGGCTATGCACGGCCCCGGCAAACTGAACCGTGCTGAAAATGTAGACACGCCGCGCACACTGTGAATTGTGAAACACAAGACGCGGCAGTAAATGGAAGATAATGTCAGAGAGAAGTATTGCACGACATACCTCTTCGTTAGGTCCGACATTTCCCGCTTGAGACAAGAATTTGAATGTCACCGCCTTTTCATATGTGAGGTAAAAGGGTTGTTTGCTCTCACAGCTCTCACAAGGCGGTGTGATCGAGTTTGCAGAAACTGCAGAGACGGACCGGATATGTAACTCTGAGAAACCAAATGGGCGCGCATATTTGATGTAGACCAGCGTCAGCGCCGCAACGCGTATGCCTGCGCGGACGCGTGTGTCGTGTGCACCGTCCTCATCCCGTGAGATAAACTATTCTAAGACGAACAGAAAACTCGGTGTCACCAATAACTAAATTTCATTTCATTTCGCTCGAAGTTGTTACCTATTGGAATTCCCCCCAAGGGTGTCGCGGCCTATCAGCCCTCGTTTTTTACTACACAGCAATAGTTCAAGTATCCATAGTCTACATCATTTCTGAGTTGTGCACACCTCGACCGAAAGATTCGGTTGCCCGGAAACGCCTAGGGTGCTCGGGGCGGGCCACCGTCTCCACACAGCTGCAAGGCGGGTTGGCCTACCCTGCGTACTGCAGGCGCTATCGCTAGCGTCGGCGGCGATTATTGTGGGAGCACCAGGACAAGTCGTAAGATCCCTGAAATGTTATTGGTATAGTAACGTCCTCGATGACACGCCCCTGACGACGTCTTGATGACAACGTCTTCTGTGTAACATCGCCCTGTAGGGTTCTATAAGTGATGTAATAGATGAAACATATCAACATGAGTGTTTAGAAATTTATTTGTATCAAAATAATACAAACACCCTTACTGCATCAGACACATTTTCTTCAGAATTATCGCCACGCAACTTTAAACTGCATTTGGAATCACTTTCTATAACATTTTCAATATTATTTAACAATCAAAACTGACATTTTTTAACCAATTGGAATTCATCTCTTCAAATATCAGTGCATCACTATACAAATAGAAATTACAGAAAGCCAACAGTTTCTCAGTAGCACATAAACAGAAAGGTTTATGAAATGGTTGATTAGATTCATGGCTGAGTAAAATAATTTTTTTATGAATCCATGACGCAACAGTGCTATAAATAGTCGAGTCAAATCAGTTCAGTCTCAATAAATTCACCTCACTTTTGGCATGCAAAATTATTTGTAACATAACATTCATATTTACAAAACAAATTATTCACAAATCAAATCTCTGTACAAAAGTAACAACCATGTTCAATATCAAAATATATAAGTGTACACAATTTATGAACATCAACAATAGCACATACTTAGGAGACATGTTTATATTACATAATGACACAAATCATGTTGTATTTACTACACATATATACATACAAATTACAAGCCGACTTTTAGTCTGCATATTACTTTGATGGTGATGGTGAACAAAGCGCACATCCTACACAAATTTAAGAAGTTTTCTTTGGTCTTGGGTTGTTCCATTCATTCTTCACACCTGTACACTCATCCATTAAAATACATACAGTCCAATACGGCCAAAGTCACGATTAGAATAATCTTAAATAATGACATCATTGTCATGGTTTCAATATTTAATTTTCACTACAAATCAATTAGAAAAACTGTTTGAGTTATAACAAAATCACGTCAATCCCCTAAATATAACATAATTTTTGTGCCTTTGACCTTATTGAATATGGTAGATATACTCTACCCCATGGATGACTCAAGCCTCTCGTCTCGTCATACGTTGGCCTCGTCCCTGAGCGCGTTCCCTAGCGGGTTGAGTAGCACAGGGGGGCTAGAGCCACCCCCACCCCCCCTCCACCAGCCGCGCCACCCCCACTGCCGCCGGTCTTGTTGGAGTCCATGGCGAAGCCCTCCAGGTCGACGTACGAGCCCGCCCGCACGCCGTCCTCCAGCAAGTCGGCCAGGGCACGGCGAAGTTCGGCAAAGTCGGGCCTCTTCGCTGAGTCGGCGTGCCAGCAGCGCAGCACGATCCGGAAGAGCTCCGGGCGGCAGTGCGCTGGCCGCTCCAGGCGGTAGCCGTCGCGAACACGCCGCAGCACCTCGCGCGCGCCCATGGTCGGGTACGGCGTTGAACCTGGCGGGTGCGAAGGCAGGTCAGAACAGACGCGCCGGGCAAAAGAGCACAATTTGCAAGATCCTAAAAATGTTGGGATTTAAAATACGTACCAAGAGTCACGATCTCCCACATGAGGATGCCGAAGCTCCACACGTCGCTCTTGTGGGTAAAGACGCTGTAGATGAGAGACTCGGGGGCCATCCACCGAATCGGTAAGGCTCCCTGAAAGAAGAAAAAAAAATATGTGACTAACAACTTCCTTTGCAGTGACCAGCGTTTCCGGTTTGGAGACGTTCCTGAAAGACTGACATGCAATGCAATAACTCGTTCACATGCAAGGCTTGGTAGTCGGTGCTTTCGCTCACCTTGGTCTCCCGCTGCTCGTAGACTTGGCCGCAGCCGGAGTCTCTCACGCTCCTAGACATGCCGAAGTCGGCGATCTTGCAGAGCTTGTTGTGATCCACCAGGACGTTCCGCGCCGCCAAGTCCCGATGAATGACCTGATGCAAAAAACGTTAACACTTCGTGTAAACTGCGAAACGAACCCATGATAAAGAAAACTAAATTATTATCCTAATGTAAATAAAGAAGTAAACAGTTTTAGTTGTACGGGGTGTG